ACACGCCACACGGCACGGATGGGACCCGAGGACATCACGCTAAGTGATGTGAGACGGCCACAGAGGAGCCACTGCTGTCTGGTTCCACTCACACGAGGTGCCTGGAGTGGTGAGGACGGGAGGCAGGAGAGGGGCAGCTGCCGGGCCTGGGGCAGGCGGAGGGCGTCGGTGGTGACCGGGGACAGAGCTCCAGTCTGGGAAGACAGGAATGTTCCGGAGACGGGTGGCAGTGAAGGTTGCACAGCAACACGAATGCACGTACTGAGCAGGGACCGCATGCTTAAAAACGGTGGCAGTGGTAAATCCCACATCATGTGTATTTGGGAATTTTACCGCTATTAAAAAGCAAAAACAGGCTGGGCGCCGTGGCTCACGCCTGTAATCCTAGCACTCTGGGAGGCCACGGCGGGCAGATTGCTCGAGGTCAGGAGTTCGAAACCAGCCTGAGCAAGAGCGAGACCCCGTCTCTACTATAAATAGAAAGAAATTAATTGGCCAACTAAAAATATATAGAAAAAATTAGCCGGGCATGGTGGCACATGCCTGTAGTCCCAGCTACTCGGGAGGCTGAGGCAGAAGGATCGCTTGAGCCCAGGAGATTGAGGTTGCTGTGAGCAAGGCTGACACCACGGCACTCACTCTAGCCTGGGCAACACAGTGAGACTCTGTCTCAAAAAAAACCCCAAAGAAACGACTTCCCCGTGGCAGAAGGATGGACACTCACTCACCGAGGCAGGGACGCCACGCAGGGACATGGTCTGCGGGGGCCACACATGGGTGCCACTGAGGCCGCCAAGCCCTTCCTCCTCTGTGGGACTAGGAGTGGTCACCTTCCTTCCCACGCCCAGGTGAGGGCCACGCCCTGTCACCAGCCTGCCCCGGAGTGGGAGCAGAGGGCCCCGCAGACGCTGGCAGCCCGGGGCTGTGGGACCGCAGCAGTGGGCAGGGGCAGACACCCACAGACCACGAGGCACGCCTGCAAACCACATATCCGATCGGGGTTAACACCCAAAATACACAAGGAGCTCGTGCAATTCAATAGCAAAAAACCCCCGAAAACTCCTAAAATCCAACAACGACCAGTTTCACAAATGGGCCAAGGACCTGGATGGACGTTCCTCCAAAGAAGCCACGGGCGCGGCCACGGTGCCTGAATGCGCGTCCACCGCCACTCGCCACCAGGGTGATGCTGAGCAAAACCACGCCTGTCAGAGCGGCCGTGGTCCGCAAGACAGAGCGTAGAGGCGCTGTCCAGGGTGCAGGAAGGGGCCCTTGCTCGGCGGGGTGGGAGGGCAAAGGTGGGAGGGCAAAGGTGGGAGGGCAAAGGTGGGAGGGCACAGTGGCACAGCCACGTGGAAGCCGTGGGGCGTTCCGGAGAAAGTGAAGGAAAGAACTGCCGTAGGACCCTGCGTCCCCGCGTCTGAGTGTAACCACAGGAACCACGATCAGGACATGAAAGGGACGCCCGAATGGCCATTTTCCCCACAGCCACGTTTGCAGTGGCGGGACACACCGTCGACCTGCGTGTCCAGTCGCAGTGCACAGATGAAGGAATCGTGGTGTGGGCGCACAACAGAACACCATCCCGCCTTACAAGCGGGAAGTCCTGCCGATCGCGACTCCACGCGTGCACCTGGAGGGTCACGCGGGGTGAGAGGGCGGGGCACGGAGAGACGGCCACGCGGCCCCTCTCACAGGGAGGCAGGGCCGGGGCGGGGCTGGAGGAGAAGGGAAGTTTCAGTCCCGCGCTGGGTGAGGGAGTCCCGGAGTCCTGGAGCGCCAGGGTGGCTGCCGTCACGGCACCCAGAGCCGCGCCCAGGGGGAGCCACGGCCTCGCCACAGCAAAGGGGTGACCAGGTGAGTGACAGCTGTCCCCTGGCTTTACCGTGGTGATCACTCACCGTGTTTCCCCGAAATTAAGACCTAGCCATAAAATAAGCCCTAGCAGGATTTCTAAGCATTTGCGAAACAGAAGCCCTACCCCGAAAATAAGCCCTAGTGACGGGCGTGGCCGCGCAGCGCGTCTGCACAACCCATGCATGTCGTCGCGGAGCGGGAAAGAAGAGCAGCCCTTCTCATCTGCCCCGTCGTGACAGCCACTATCCCAGAGGTGACCGGAAAGGTGCGGGCAGCCCCACCAACAAGGTCGGCTCCCCCCGTCAGGTCCTGGCCATCCTGTGCGTGCTGCAAGCTGAGGCTTTGAGGGGAAAATAACACATCCCCTGAAAATAAGCCCTAGGGTGTCTTCTTGAGGAAAAATAAATATGAGACCCTGTCTTATTTTCAGGGAAACACGGTAGCAATATGCACACACAGGAAATCATCCTGCTGTGGGCTTTAAACTGATACAAAAATTAAAATACACAAAAGGAAGCGCAGGCAGCCACGGGGGGCTCCTCCCGTCTGTGTCTGGCTTCCACGGGGTCGCAAGGCCCGGCACCTGCAGACACCTGCAGACGCCCGGAGCCGGCGCCCACCCAGCAGGGGTTACACGCCATCACTGCCGCACATCGGGGAGACGGCGGCCGTGGGAAGCTCGGCCGGCGGCGTCCGGAAGCTGCGTGCAGGTCGCCCGGAGGTGAGAGGTGGGCGTGAGCGTTTTCCACGCAGGTGGCTGCGTCTCTCACATCAGGGTTAACCAGAAACCTCGAGTTAGCAGAAGCAGGAAGAGGGACGTTTTCTATAGTCCTGCAGCGACCGAGGAGCAAGACGCCACGCCTCGGCAAGGACACGAGGGAGGGGCCGCTGGGCAGCCCCCCCAGGGACCCAGCGTGGGATCCCGTGGCTGCCGTGGCCCCACTGGACTCCAGTGCCTGGCGGGTGCCCCGTGCAGCCACTTCCCAGGACAGAGGTTCACGCGGGCTGTGGGGGTCGGCCCGCCCTGAGCCCACGCGTGTGGAACCGCCTCCCGAGCACCTGCTGTGCACGGGCTCACCTGCCCCTGGGGGACGGCCGGCACTGCCAGGGGATGCCCGTCACCCCTGCAGCTGCCCAGAGCCAGGTGGCCGGACCCCTCCCGGGTCCCCTCCTGCAGGCCAGGCCCGCGGCGTCCTCACTGACCAGGCCGGACACACCTGCCTGCAGGATGCTGGGGAAATGCCACCTGGCCGGCGGGGTTTGTGAGGATGCCCCTCAGGGCCCTGTGATGATGCCCCCACAGGCCCTCTGATCTGAGCCCCACGGGGACAGCATGGGGGCTTCCTGGAGGCAGTGGTAGGCCCCGGAGCAGCCTGACCCCGCTCCCTGGCTCTCGGCAGCTGCAGGAGGGACCCTGGCTCTCTTGGGGGGGCAGAGGAATCAGAGGGGGCGGGAGGGCTGCAGGTCCACGTGGGGGGCAGCTCAGAAGGCCTGAGACGGTGCCCAGGACCCCGGACAAGTGCAGCCTCCCTGACCCCCATGGCCTCTTGACGAGCCCACAGACGGTCCCTGGCCAGTGGCGGCCGTTCTCCTGGTGCTGGGAGCAGAGCTGGTGCCCCTCCCCCACCCCAGGGCCCTCAGCCATCCTGGGGGGTGGGCCCCTGGGTGGGGGAGGGGCTGGACCCCCCCTCCCTTAACGCCCTACCAGGGCCTTTCCCCTCCTTCCCCTGGAGTGGTGTGTCCAGCCCAGCAGGAATGCAGAGGAGCTGGGGGCGGGGGAGGGCTCTCCCCAGCCAGGCCAGGCCTGACACCGCCTGACCCCCACCACTGGGGTGCGGCCCTCACGGGAGTCCCCCGGAACCCCGCGCCTCCCTCGGAGCTGGCGGGACGCTGCCAATACGTCCAGATGTTCCGTGAAAGTTCGCTCGGGCCACAGGGCCGCCCAGGCCAGCTGCAGCCGGAGAAATTCCTGGCCCCACGCAGCCCTGCCTGGGCTGGGCCTGGGGAAGCGGGGCCCGCGGCGCCCCCGCGCCTGTGCTAGCTCAGAGCCGGGGGCTGGGCAGGCAGGGCCAACAGGTCTCCCGGCCCTTCCCCTCCCGCCCGCAGCCTCCCTCCCTGTCCTGGCTCTGCGCCAGCTGCCGGCCCCCCTCGGGGCTGCCCGCCCCCACGCTTGGCGGTGGGGGCCACTCACAGAGCCACGCTAGGGATGAGACCTGAGCCCCCCACGCCGACGGCCCTGCAGCCACCACCAGCCCCTCCCAGGGCTGCCCTGTGCTCACTGCTCCCCTGCCCGGACGCCCTGCAGGCCACGACACCGCCTCCGAGCAGCCCTCCCTGCCCACCCTTGCTGCTCCAGCCCCTCAGGCACTGTCTTCTTGGGGTTGGGGACTGCCGGTCACTGGCACTTGTCCCTGCCCTGCCCTCGGCCCCTCCTGCGCCCAGGACCTGCAGGGGCTCAGGGCCTCTGCGGGGTGACCGGGGGCCCTAGCCCTGGAACCCCCGGGGGTGGCCAGGCGCCCTCGGGCGGCGCCGACTCCAAACTCTCACCACGGACACCCCGCGTGGCTCCGTGCGGCCGCCCACCCGCCTGCCCAGCTCCAAAGCCAGCGACCGGCCGAGGGTCAAGGCCGCCTCCCGCAGCCGCAGGGGGAGGACAGTGGAGGGGACGGACACCCCCGGCCGCAGGGGTGCGAGGGGCAGGCGCAGCTCAGGGCCCAGGGCGGCCGGGCCTTCCCTAGGCGGAGGCTGCCCCTCCCCCTCCCCCTTCCTCCCTTGCCCCTCCCCCACCCGGGCGGCCTGTGCGAGCAGGCGCAGGGGCCGTGGGCGCCCGCCAGACCTCGAGGGCCGTGGCTTGTGACCTCTCGACCTCCAGCAGAGCAAGGGCCTTTCCCCGCCCCTGCAGCCCCCACCTGGAGCACCTGGCACAGGTGACACCCCTGACACATGTGCTGCGGTGACAAAGTCTGCGGTGCGTCCGGCCGTCCCCCTGCAGAGGTGGCCTCATGTCCCAGCCTCCACGTCCCGAGGCGCCCGGCGGCCGCTCCCGGGCTCCAGGTGGGACGGGGCCCCCAGCCTCATGGCCCGCCGAGCTTACCTGGCCAGGCAGGAGGGGATGGGCGGGGGGGCGGCGGCCGGCCCGTTACCTGCAGCCGGCCCGATGAACACGCAGTCCCCGTGCTCCTGGGCCGGGAGGGCGGCACAGGCCACGGGCAGCCGGCCGCCGCGCAGGTGGCGCCAGCAGGCGTCCTCCAGGGCCTCGCAGAACTGGCGGCAGGGCGGGGGGGCGGGCGGGGGGCCCGGGCTGCAGGGGGGGGCCAGCAGCAGGCAGAAGAACCAGGCCAGGAAGGGGTGGCAGCGCGTCCGGAGCAGGCCCCCCCAGGCCTGCGCGGCAGCCTGTGCCTCCTCACTGCTCCGGTGCTGCAGGTGGTTGGGCAGCCACGCGCGGCGGATGCCCAGGCGGCCGCAGGTGGGCAGCGAGGGCGGCAGCGGCAGGCAGCGGCCGGCGCCGGGAGGAGCAGAGCGGTTAGCAGGACCAGGCCCCACGGGGTCCGCCACGGAGGAAGCCCAAGCCCCGCCGTGCCCCACCAAAGCCGTGAGTGCCGTTCCAGACCACTGTGCGCCCAGGGAGGCGGAGGAGAGAGCAGCGTGTGCGCCCAGGGAGCCCGTCACCAGGGGGTGCAGGGGCGCCGTGTGCCTGGGGACGTCGGGGTGCCGCTGGCCGGGACCGGCTGCCACAGGTGAGAGTCCTTTGCCGTCCGGAGCCGGGGGCCAGCCGGGGGCCCGCCAGCCTCCCCGGGAAGGAGCCCCACCCGGCGCAGAGGAGAGAGACGCTCTACCTGGGGGCGGCGGCGGCACGGAGGGCCCCCCGAGTGGGGCCTGGGGCCCGGCCAGGGAGGGGGCGGCTGGCGTGGGTGCCGGGGGCGTGGCAGCCGCGGCTGTGGGGGCGCCTGGAGCCCAGGGAGCACCACTGCTGGGCCAGAGCGTTGCAGTCACGTCCTCCTGGGGGGCGCTGGAGGGCCCAGGGTGGGTGGGGGGGCCCGGGGGGGCCTCGGGGGCTGGGGTCTGCACCCCGGCCGTGCTCTGGGCGGGGGTGGTGTCATCCCACAGCTGCACGAAGCTCCGGATGCCTTGGGCCACGTTCAGGATCTTGGCTCCAACGCCGGCAATGTTCTCCTCCCCCGTGGCGGGGCTCACGGCGGCCGCGGTGGTGGGGTGGGGGTCAGGGGCCCCAGTCCGGCCACCCTCCGGCAGCTCCAGGGGCGGCTCGGGGCTGGCGGGGACTGCCCCTCGCTCTGTGGGGCCATCGCGGGTGGCCGTGGCAGGCTGCCCAGGAAGGTGGCCCTGGGGCTCCGAGGCCAGGGTGGGCGCGGGGCTGGCCGCCTTGTTGGCCCACAGCCAGTCCAGGCCCAGCAGCTGGGCGCGGGCGGCCGCGAGGCAGCAGGTGAGCAGCAGCAGGCCCAGGCGGCCGCTGGGGTCGGGAGCCATCGGGCCGTGTGCCTGCCCCGGCGGCCCCGCGTCTGCTCTGGAGGTGTGGAGGTGGGGCCGCGGGCTCCGCCCTCCGCCCACGCCAGGCTCCCTGCCTCCGTCCTGGGCGGCCCTTCCCGCCACTGCACCGCCACTGCACCGTCTGCCCCTGCAGCAGGGAAGGGCACCAGCCAGGGTCACAGGTGACCAGCCCCTGGGACCTTTAACCCTCTCCTTCCCGCACCCCGGGGCAGCTCAGAGGGACGGGGACTTTGCCAAGAACGCCCGGAGGAACAGGACTCGCTCCGCTCAGCCCCGGGAGGAGGTGGCAGCGGAGTTTTTGCCAGGGGGTCTCCCGCCAGGACCCCCAGCCCCCAGGGGCACCAAGGCAGCGGCCCCACCCCCGCTCCCCCGCCAGCGGAGAGCACCCCAGAGCCTGGCCTCGCGCCCCGCTCTGTGGCCAGGCTGGAGCTCAGGAAATGCTCCCGGCTGCAGCTGCAGCTCTTCTGTCGCAACTGCGCTGGGCGCCGAGGGGCGGTCCCCTCCCGTCCCCGACCACAGCCGCCTCCCTGGGGGACCCGCCGCTCACGCAAAGCCTTTCCCCTCCGCGGGCTCCCGCGCTGCGCCAGTTTCCGTCAGCACGTCCTGGTCCCCGTGTGAGTCCGTGTGAGTCCATGATGTGTGAGCCCATGTGAGTCCATGATGTGTGCACCCATGTGAGCCCATGCTGTTTGAGTCTGTGGTGTGTGAGCCCGTATGAACCTATGTGAGCCCGTGGTGTGTGAGCCCATGTGAGTCCATGATGTGTGAGCCCGTGTGAGTCCATGCTGTGTGAACCTGTGGTGTGTGAGCCTATATGAACCTATGTGAGTCTGTGGTGTGTGAGCCCATGTGAGTCCATGATGTGTGAGCCCGTGTGAGCCCTGGTGTGACAGCAGCATGATCCATGGTGTGAGCCATGTGAACCCATGTGAGTCTGTGGTGTGTGAGCCTGTATGAACTTATGTGAGTCCTGTGGTGTGTAGCCTGTATGAACGCTATGTGAGTCTGTGGTTGTGAGCCAATGATGTAAAGTGATGTTGAGCCGTTGGTGAGTCATGGTGTGTGAGCCAGCATGATACAATGGTGTGTGACCGATGTGAACCCAGTGAGTATGTGTGTTAAGAGCGTGTGAGACCTGGGTGAAGAGCCGCGTGGAACATATGTGGACCGGTGAGCCGTGTGAACCCGTGTAGGCCTCGTGTGAGCGTGTAGACCTGTTTGAGAACCTTTGGAGCCCGTGTGATCGCCCTGTGTGAGGTTGTGGAGCCCGTGTGAAGACCCTTGTGGGTTGTGTGACGAAGTGTAGACTTGTGGGGGTGTGTGAGACGTGTGAGATTTGGGGTTGTTAGCCCCGGGACCTTTGTGGGTTGTGTGAGCATGTGTGACTGTGAGCCTGTTTGGAGATAGTGAGCAGTGGGAGCCTGTGTAGGTTGGGACCGTGTGAGACTGTGGTTGGGAGCCGTGTGAGCCCTGTTTGGGTTGTAACCTGTGAGACTTTTGGGGTTGTGTGAGCCTGTGTGGCCTGTGTAGCCTGTTGAGAATTGTGAGCCCGTGTGGCCTGTGTGAAGGTGTGGGAGCCCGTGGAGCCTTGTGGGGTTGTGTGACCGTGTGAGACTTTGGGTGTGTGGCCCGTGGTAACCCTTGTGGGGTTGTGTAGCCTGTGTGACTGTGTGGTTTGTGGGGGGTGGTTGTGAGCCAGTGTGGCTTTGTGGGGTGTGTGACCCCGTGTGGCCGTTTTGAGCAATTGTGACCCGGTGAGCTTTGCCTGGTGAGGTGTGTAGCTTGGTGGAGGTTGGTGAAAGCATGTTGACCTGTGAGGTTGTGTGCCTGTGGATTTGTGAGCCTGTTGAGTTGTGTGAGCGTGTGAGCCTGTTGGGTTGTGTGAGCCGTGTTGACCTGTGAGAATTGTGACCCGTGTGAACCGGTGTGACCTGCTGTGAGGTTGGTGTGAGCCCGGTGATCGCTGTTTGAGCCCTGTGGAGTGTGAGCCAATTGTGAGGCCTGTGGGTGAGCCGTGTGAGCCGTGTGACCTGGTGAAGTTGGGAGCTGAGTGAAGCTGTGGGTTGTGTGCCGTGTGGGCTGTGGGTGAGGCTTGTGTGAGCTGTGGAGCTGTGTGGTTGTTGAGACTGTGTGAGCTGGTTAAGGTGTGTGATAATGGTGTGACCTGTGTGAGCTGTTGAGCCTGTTGAGGTTTGTGAGACGTGTGACCCGTGTGAGCTGTGTGAGCCTGGTGGTGGGTGGTGAGCCAGGTGCGCCCGTGTGAGCATTTGAGCCTGTGGTGACGCTGCTGGATGTGGACCCGGTTGAGCTGTGTGAGCCTGTGTGGAAGGTGTGGAAGCCAATGTGAGCCCGTGTGAGCTGTGTGAAGGTTGTGAGCCTGTTGTAGAGCTGTGGAGCAGTGTGAGCATGTGTGAGCAGGTGTGGAACGCTGTGTGCAAGTTGTGTGAGCCCCGGTGAGACGTGTGAGCCCCTGTGTAGCCTGTGTCTGAGGTTGGTGAGCCGTGTGAGCCGGGTCGAGCCCCTGTGTACGAGGTTGCTGGAGCCCGTGTGAGCCCGTGTGAGCCTGTGTGAGCCTGTGGTGAGCCTGTTGGTGAGGCTTGCTGGGCCCGTGTAGCCGTGTGACCCTGTTGTGAAGCATATGTGTGAGGTATGTGTGAGCCCGTGTGACCCAGTGTGATGCCCCCTTGGTTGTGAGCCTGTGTGGAGCTGTTGTGAAGGTTTGTGTGAGCCCGTGTGACCCTGTGTGAGCCTGTGTAGGAGCCCTGTGTGGAGCCATGTGACGCCCGGTGAGCCTGTGTGAGGCTTGTGGTGAGCCTGTGTGAGCACTGTGGTGAGGTTGTGTAGCAGCCCCGTGTGAGCCGTGTGACCTGTTGTGACGCTGTGAAGTTGTGTGAGCAACGTGTTGAAAGCCTGTCGAGCCTGTTGTGAAGACGTTGAGCCCCGTGTGCAAGCCTGTTGTACGCATGTGTGAGCCTGTGTGAGGCTTTGTGTGACCGTGGTGAGCCTGCTGTGAGCTGGTGAAGCCATCGTGACGCCCGTGTGACGCCTGTGTGCAGCCTGAGTGAGCCATTGTGAGGCCCGTGTGAGCCCGTGTGAGCTTGTGTGAGCCTGTGTGGACGCCCGGGAGGTCTGCTGGAGCCTGTGTCGACGCCCAAATGCGTGCAGCCCGTTGAGGTTGGTTGTGCAGCCCCGTGTGGAGCCCCGTGTGAGTTGTGCGAGCACCGTGTGACCACCCGTGTGAGGTTTGCGCCTGAAGGCCCCGTGGGTTTGCAGGCCGGTGTGACGTTTAGGTAACATACATGGGTCACCGGGCCGCATGAAGAGGTGCGGCCCCGAGCTCTGGGGCATCCCTGTGCCCGCCCCGTGAACCGCCAGTTGACTCGTCGTGCGGCGGCCCACCGCCAGGTGCGGGAACGGCCACACCGCGACGATCCCCTCCACAACCTGAGGCTTAACAAGGAAACTCAGCCCATCTCGAAGAAGAGCAACACGCTCACCACGCCCGCGACCTGGCAGGCTGCTGGGACCCGCTCCATCCCGCGAGCGCGCGCCGCGCAGGTGCGGACGGGCCCACAGGCAGGGTGGGGGGCGGTGGGGGCCTCAGCCCCGGGCCCCACAACGGCAGGTGAGGGGTGGGGGGTGGCGTTGGGGGACCAGCCCGGCCCACAGGCAGGCGTTAGGGGGGTGGGTTTTTGGGCGGCTCCAGCCCGCCCCCACCAGCAGGTGAGGGTGGGGGTTGGGTTATGGGGCCTCAGCCCGGGCCCCACAGGCAGGGTGGGGGGTGGGGCGGCTCAGCCGGGCCCACAGGCAGGGTGGGGGGGGGTGGGGGTGAAGGGGGCCTCAGCCCGGCCCACAGGACCGAGGGGGGCACACCAGGCCGAGAACGAAAACGCCGCATAAA